GAAGGTAGAGAAAAGTGGAACTGGCAGTTTTATCCATCCCTATTGTAAACTAGAACACTTTGTCAGGACTGGAAGGCCTATTTTATCTTTGCATTTATACAATTATTTTCTCCTGTTGGGGCCTATGAGACTTATCAGTATTAGTCAAAGTGAGGCAGTGCCCATGTGGAAACTAAGATAAACCTAATGTTTTATTGCAAGAGGACATAGGTGGCATCCCTTAATACCTCAAATTGAATCTTCTTTGTCTTGCCTCATAGGAGGGAACAAAACAGAGACTTTCACCAAGCCAGATCTTTTGCACATCTAGTTTGGTAGTGTCACTACTGAATTGCTGGGTTTTTATGCACTCTCATGTCAGCTTTCATTTATGATGATTCTATAAATGAACAGAAAACTTACTTCCATCATACCAGATCTTTCACTCATCTAGCTTAGCAGTGTCACCACTGGATTGCTGCTGTTGCTTTGGGGCAATAAGTCAGCCTTCATTTATGGTGACTCTACAAATGAGGGACCTCAAAGAAACAAAGTCATCAACTGTCCTGCTTAGGTCTTGCAGACTGAAGGCTGTGGTTTCCTTTATTGAATCATAGAATCATAGAGTTGGAAGAGACCACAAGGACCATCCAATCCAACCCCCTACTATGCAGGAACTCACAAAGCATCCCCAACAGATGGCCATCCAGCCTTTGTTTAAATATTTCCACCACACTCTAAGGGAGTGTGTTCCACTGTCAAACAGCCCTTACGGTCAGGAAGTTCCTTCCAATGTTTAGGTGGAATCTCTTTTCTTGTCGCTTTCATCCATTATTCTGTGTTCTAGACTCTGGAGCACCAGAGAACAAACTTGTTCCATCCTTGAATCAAGAGCGACTTCATCTTTTCCCACCATCTTCAGCTTTACCAAGTGTTATTTGCTTTTTCATTGAGTCCATCTCATGACATCTTTGCTCAAGTCTTCCTCAACTGTACAGGAGATTCAGGGACATGACCTGAGTACAGTGGAACCAAGAACTTTCCTTTCATAGAATTCACAGGTCACACTGACCTGAATACTATTGTTTAGTCCCAACTACAGTAGGCCCAATGAATCAACTGCTAACTGTTGATTCAACACTTATGCAAATACCATTGTTCCAGTCAATTTACTCTAGATGGAAGGACTAATTAATTTAGAAAATTGAGAACTGGCCTTATCTGCACAGCCACATCCTTTGCTAACACTTTTTATGTGTATCCCTGTTGATTTTTGGTGACACCCTTTCATTCTGTACCAAGCATATGGGGTAGCTTACACAGTAAATAACTACCATCACTATTAAGTCTTTTTGGACTTAAAAGATGAAAATAATTTATAGCATAGGCTTTTGTGGACTTCAGTCCACTTCAGCAGTACCAAGATGTATTTGCATCTGATGAAGCAAAGTCCATGGAAGTTCATGCTACAATTTATTTTCCTCTGTCTCAAAGGTGCTACATGTTTCATTTCTGTCTTTTTTATGCTGAAACAGACTAATGCCACAATGTCTTTGAATACTACCATTAAATATAATGCATTTTAAATGTTTGCTGCTCTGTATTCTGTCTCCTGGGATGCTACTATAGAGATACAGGGACATGTGCTTTGAAAATTCAACATATTTTAATGGCAGACCTTCACTGAGCTCTAGATATCATTCACTATTTGAAACAGTGATCTAACATGTAACAGTCCTGCTACAACTTGGGGCAAGGTTAGGGAAATAAGAAGTGGGAAAAGCAAGCTAAAGGACCAAAGTTTTTGACAAAGGGAGAAACAGCTAGTAGATGGTCCTAGACAAACACTTCCCAACTACATTTTCAGACACCCATGTGGACTAGCTGTTGATGAAGGAAGCTCTTGAGATACAGGAGCCAGCTGAACTGTTGAGGGACAATTGGTCCTAGATGAGCCAGTGGAGGGAGGAACTTCAGAAAGTATCTACACTATCCAGACACAGAAATTTGAAACCACTTCAAGTGTCATGACTCAAATTTATAGAATCCTATATTTAAACTATAAATCTATAGTTTAAAGAGATTCTGAGAATTTTCTGATAAGAAAATGTAGTGTCTGGTGACAGAGAATTGTAAACATTTCACTAAAGTACCAATCTTGGGATTCCAAACTTTGGATCCATGGCACTTAAAGTGGTACCAATCTTCTATAACTGAGTAGTTGCCCATACATCTCTCCCTTCTTTCTCTAAAGTAGTCAAGTGATGAACATAATGAGAAGCAAAAGTAGCCCTGTTGAACATAAGGGAAAATTTAAAAACCACTTTAGGGTAGTATCTTTAACAGATCAACTCGGTATCATAAAACTATAATAAAATAAAAAAACAAAATCATCACATCTTTTCATCATGCAAGATTTTATCAGAAGCAGTTGGGGCAGGGAGGGAGGCTGACTCAATTAATGAATTCACTATGGTCAAAGTCTTCAGAACAAAGTTGGAGAAATAGAGCAGAATTTTGCATAAGGCTGCATCTACACTGCAGAAATAATGTGATTTGACATCACTTTAACTGCCATGGCTGAATGGTATGGATCCTGGGATTTGTAGTTTTTTGTGACACCAGTGCTCTCTGACAAAGAAGGCTAAATATTTCATGAAACTACAGAAATAGAATTCCAAAGCATCAAGTCATGACAGTTAACGCAGTATCAGACTGCATTATTTCTTCAGTGCAGAGGCACAAGATTCTACCAGGTGATGGCACAGTTTCCACTTGCACCTAAGATTTTCCCAAGTTTGTAGGACTAAAGAAGCAATGAAATCATCGTTCACACCCCATTTTTCAAAAATATAAAATGCAGTTGTTATTCAACAATCTCTAGGAAACCCACAAATAGGGTTTGATGGTACTAGCATTCCATCTGCTGTTCTCCAGAAGGAAGAAACTAAAGAGAAAATCTAAACCCAAATTTCACTTTTTGCCATCACTCTATCGGCTTTCCCTTCCTCACACTTTCCAAACAATGCAATAAAACATATGGCCTCCCAGATTCAGAAGATATCACAGTATATAGCTTCCACCCCCATGCCAACTGATCCCCAAATGCCAGTCCAATGAAAACCTGCAAATCACTACTAGAAATGCTTCACATCAATCCCTTTGTAATTGGTGTCAGATCGCCTCCTTTTCCTCCCCTTTCCAAACTACAGTTTATCTGGACGCATCTGACATTATTCCCCAACTGACCCAATCAGCAAGGCAATTGCTTTGTAATTTCTTTTTTATTATACTGTGTCATATTTCAATTAAAATGTCCCCACAAAACTGCTCCTGTCGAAATGGTCTCAGGCTCTTCTGCCATCCACAACCCGTATTGACTTGAAAAATAACAAACAAGTGTAAATGGCATTTACAGCTCTTAATTGGTGTCATTAGCCGTTCTTATTATTCAGCAGGACAATTGTTGGCCCTTTATGGGGGATTCAGTGAGGCACAGCTGCTTGGAAGTCATCAGAACTTAGAGACAAGTCATAAAACAGCTGAGTGAATGACTTAGAGCCTCATCCATCACCAAAGAGCCGAGGCAGCTGGGCCCTCCTTTTTTTGCCTTTTGTTGCCATCATGGTTTTAATATGCTTCCTTCCCATCTGTAGCTTTATAGAGGAAAAGAATTGCACTTTTATAAGAAGAAGTTACGATGTGAGCCAATGACTTATGGATATTCTGTGACTCATTTACATGGGTAGAATCAAGAACTGAAATTCAGAAGTGCTTGAGAAAGTTGCTATTTTGGACTGTTGTTGTTGTTATTGTTGTTGTTGTGTGTCTTCAAGTTGTTCCCAACTTATGGTGATTCTAAGATAACCCTATCATGCAGTTTTCTTGACAAGATGTGTTCATAGGAGTGGCATATGCTGTTTTGGAGTGTGGTGGAGTTTCTGTCTTTAAAGGTTTTTAAACAGTGGCTGGACGGTCATCTGTTGGGAGTGCTTTGATCGGGCATTCCTCCATGGCAGGGGGTTAGACTTAAGGTGTCTTCCAACTCTATGAGTCTGTGATTCTGTGGTAAGGTTTGCCATTGCCTTTGTAGCCCAAGAACCAGCCCTCCAACACTCTCTGTGATCCTGATATCAAATTAATATCAAAAAGGATGTCTTTGACAAAGCTTAAGCAGGAGCTCCTCAGCACAGGCAACCAGCTATACCAGGTTGAACCAGATAGCTCAGCACAGGAGAACCCAAGGCACTCAGCCATGATGCAATCTCTCAAGATCAGAATCAGCACAATCCCTAGACTATAGAAAGGTGATAGTGAGCTAGACTGGGAGACTGCTTGCATATCACAGACAAAGAGAGTTTCCTTCTGGAATGAAACTCTTTGTCTGTGAACATTTACATTAATTATCCAGTCATTACTGCATATTGCAATGTACTCTTCTCCCCTGGGAAAGTCATTTAAGCCCATCAGTTCCTAACATTCTGCCCTTAGGAGCCATTTCTGGATATAAAGGTAGGTATCTCAGCACCAGCAAATTGGTATAGTCTGAAATCGAATAGAACCTCAATCTGATTGCAGCTCTGCACCTCAGTAAGCTGGTCACTCACATGTGCTGCAGTAGCTTCTGAGACATCTTCATTCTGTCATCTTTGCAATCAATGCTGTGCTTCAGGATTGGTATAGTATTGCCTCTTAGCCACCTCACAATTTTCTACTATTTACTACTTTTTGCTTCATTAGTTCTTGTGTGTGTGTTAGAGATTGTGTGTTTGTGTGCTTGTTGATTTCCCTTTTAATAAAACTACATTAATTTGGAAGCTGCCTCTGGAGTTCTATGCGTTTAGAATCATTAGACATAAGCAAGGTCCCCACTTACCATTACAAAAACCCTTCTCTCTGCTCCACATTGAGCTAAATTAATTTTCCCATTGAATACAATTAATGGGCGTCCCTTCAGGACCCCTACAATTTTGGTAATACTTTCCCCTGAGGCTGAGTGTTGTTTGCCCAAGTATGTTTCATGCCAAGTGGGGAATTGAACTCTGGTCTCCAGAGTTGCAGTCCAAAATGCAAACCACTATGCCACATTGGCCCTCTATTTTAGGCTACATCTCCCCCAATCCCCTAGCCAACATAGGGGGGTTGCAGACTGCCAGAAATAGTGCAAATTGAGTCCACTTTTAGGGTTAGGGTTAGTGCTAGGGAATGATGGGAATTGTTTTTTTCCCCCCTGAGACATTGAGTCTTCTCTGTCAGAGAGCTCTGGTGCCACAATAAAATACAGTTCCCATGATTCCCTAACCCTAACCCTAACCCTAAAAGTGGACTCAATTTGCACTGTTTCTGGCAGTCTGCAACCCCCCATAGTCAATTGCCATATGGTTAGGGATTTGTGGGATCTGTAGTCCAAAAAGATAACTTTCACAAGGTCTGCTCAGGAACTTGTAAAGATAAGGTTCTTAAAAAAGCAAAAACAAAATCATTGTTGTGACCAGGCCTGAACGAACATATCAGTGACCAAGCAAGAAGTGACTCAATACAGTAGTCCTGAGATCAACTATCCTTCTTTGCTGCTTCCTTGGGACAGCAGAAATGGAGTGGGAATCGTCTATCCAAATCTGTCCAGATCTCTCAAAAACAACACAAGTAGAGCTCAAAAGCTGGAACGAACTTTTCTACATTCCAGTTTTTCTGCTGAAATTTGCATGCCCAAGAAATCTTAGGCCAAGTCCCCATGGATCAGAATACTCCAGGAATAACAGGAAGCTTCCCAGATATCCCCCCCATTGAAGCACTCTGGAGTGATGCTGGGTGGCTGTCCTGCTGTGTTGCCTGGTGGCAGCACAATTTGCTCTCTCTGAAGCCAGGAACAATGCATCCAGCATGGATCACATGGCTGGCCACCTCATTCTGGCCTCAGACGTGTGCTAGCAGTAGCAGGCAGTACAGTGGGCTGTATTGTAAACAGCCACATGACATCACTCTAGAAGGCTCCTCCAGATTTTCCTAGAAGATCTGGAGCACAATGTGAGTTTTAAAAATATGTTCTAAGG